ATTGAGGACCACTGGTAACCGAAGAAGCTATTAGCCCAAATCTAGGCAAATATCTTTTTTTCCTTCCCCCCCACTGAAGTGAATATTATTCGGTCTGCCTTTGAGAATTAAGAAGGAAGTTATTTGAATTTGACCACAGATTGGCTTGTGATGGTAGGTATATACGATAGATAAGCTCTTTGTAGGGTGTCAGTTTGCTTAAATATATAAGAAATGTTACAGCCGCCATGTTCTTTCTACAAATATGTCTGATTTTTCTTTAAAGAGCCAGGTTTTTTTTAGAAAAACACACACAAGCCATGCATACAATAGTTTATGGCACGTACAATGGTTTACAGAGTATTTTAGGGACAAACAGATATCTGTCCTCTAGGGAGCTCACAATGGATGTTGTTGTCTTTTCAGTGCCATTTATAAGTGCCTGCCTGTCTCCAAAAACCCTACATAGTAGTATTGTTATCCTAGATATTCAGGGGAAGAAAAAAAAAAACCTCTTCTAAGTCGTTTTCCTCTTTTAGTGCCAATAGACAGCAAAATTTTCCTTGCAAGTGATTTATTAAAGATAGAGGTTCAGCAATAATCAGTTATGTTAATTTTGTATCTGGAATTTACTTAATAAATCTGTGCTTCAGGCCAAGTGTTATTACTGATTTCTGCCTACGACCCAAAGAGAACAGAATAGAAATTCTTTATTGGCCAAGTGTGATTGGACACACAAGGAATTTGTCTCTGGTGCAGAAGCTCTCACTGTACAGAATAGAATAGAATAGAATAGAATAGAATAGAATAGAATAGAATAGAATAGAATAGAATAGAATAGAACAATAATTTATGATCACAAAGCTGGAACTTATGAAAAACTCTCTTTCAACTGTTCTTCTGCCTCTAAGCAAGAGAAAAATGACAGCTCTGTGTTGCCTCTTAATTGTCTTTTTCAGAAAAACCACTTCTGAGAGATGCGCTCCAATGTCTCACTGGCGTTTAATTGCCTGTACTTAAAACTCAGAAGAAAAATTCATTATGGGTAAGTTTGATTTATCCTGAACGGGAGGAGGAAAGATTTATGGATGGGACAAAATCATATAGGGAAGGATTGGAATCTGACTGAAATAAAGAAATAGTCCTTGACTTATAACGTATGGTTTAGTGACTGTTCAAAGTTACAACAACACAGAAATTTTGTGCTCCAAAAGTCAAGCACTTACCTGTATCAATATCTGAAATATTTGAATAATATTTGTACCTTTTCATATGGGGATCTATATTTTTACATTAATCGCTTTAGAAAATCTACAGATGGAGAGCCTTCACAACATAGAAGAAAGAAGAATAATTTCAAATTTCGTTCTTCTACGGGTCATTATTAGTGACCTTTTTTTTGTCAGAAAACCTAATTAAAATTTTGCTCCCAGTGTTTGACCTCGAAGAATAGGGCGTGTTACGTTCATTTTTTTTTCTGTTTTACACATCATGAAAGTCACAATATTTCTCGTAGAGTGGATTCAGTGAGGTAGGGACGATATGAACTGTCAAGTTCATCAAATGATTTTTGCATTTTCTGTTCGCTAGATGGCACTGCTGAATAGGTTGTGAGTCTAGGAAGACGCTGGTACTTTGTAGTAATCTTGTAAAAGGTGGCAAGGATTTGTAAAAACAGACTGGAATTGATCGACTGGATCAAGAAATGGAAAATGTATGTCTCAAATATTCTACTCTTACTCACGGGGTTGGACTAGAAGACCTCCAAGGTCCCTTCCAACTCTATTACTATTATTACTATTATTATTATTACTATTATTATTATTATTATTATTATTATTATTACTATTATTATTATTATTATCTTTTATTCATTAAACATGAACCTCAGTCAACTGAACATTCAAATTGGCTGGAATGTTCAGTTGACTGAGGTTCATGTCTAATGAATAAAAGATAATAATAGTAATAGTAATAGAGTTGGAAGGGACTTTGGAGGTTTTCTAGTCCAACCACCTGCTCAGGCAGGTAACCCTATTACTATTACTATTATTATTATTGTTGTTGTTATTCTCTGGGACTTGAGTGAACAAAAGTTAACACAAACCTGGGGGAACTGATAGAATCCCAGAATTCCTTCCAGTTTGGTAATTATTTGGCAAGCCTTCTGTTTGAACAAACTTCTTTAAAGAAGAAAGAAAAGAGACAAGATTTGCGTTATGTCGACATTTTCTTTTACCCCCAGATTTATTTTATTTATTATTTTTTTTTGAAGAGAAAGACTGATTTAATCTGGTATCTCGTCAAGGTTTCTCTGCGCATAGAATCCTGCCCTGAAAACAATTGCTTTATCAGGGCATTTTTCAAAGAAGGCTTACCCAACAATCCAAAAGAAGGCCGTTTTTCAAACAATATCAATTTCGAAGGTTGCGTGACTAGATAAGGCGGAATTTCCAGCGGATTCTTGCGACTCTCCAGGAGTGGAGCACTTAAAAACCTTTCTGATGAAACGTTAGGGGAAAAAATTGTTTGTTCTTTTGCAAACTGGTGCAAAAGTCATTAAGGTCCTCTTTGTACTTCCTGGGTTAATTTTATCTTTGGAAGCTCCAACTGAAGCTGGATGGGTAGCAAGGTTGCATATGGAATTTTCTTTTGCGTTCATGGGATGCCCTGTTTTTGAGCCCTCATGCACCAAAACAAAAAAGCAAAACAAAAAAAAAACCCAGAAGGAGAAAGCAGACAGAGAGGAGCCGAAGGAATACTTAGTAAAGTGGTGATAGAAAATCCACATTTTAAAGTTTTTTTCCATCCTTCCGCTAAGCCAACTTCAACATATTTTCATATGTATAGTTGGACCTTCCGTGCTGTCTCCACCATCTCATCAATACGCACATCCCAAAAAATAACCATCTATATGGCCCTTTGCTCTGCCAGCTTCATCTCATCTGAAGAAGGTCTTGGGCAGAGAAGAGCAACAAAGATGATTAGGGGACTGGAGGCTAAAATAGCTGCTGGAATTGGGTATGTCTAGTTTAATGAAAAAGGACCAGGGGTGACATGATAGCAGTCTTCCAGCATTTGAGGGGCTGCCATAAAAAAGAGGGGGTCAAGCTATTCTCCAAAGCACCTGAAGGCAGGACAAGAAGCAACGGATGGAAATTGATCAAAGATAGGAGTAACCTGGAACTAATTGTTCCTGACAGAACAATTAACCAGTGGAACGACTGGCCTCCAGAAGTTGTGGGTGCTCCATCCCTGGAGGTTTTTAAGAAGAGGCTGGTCAGCAGTGATATAAAGACTCCTGTCTTGGGCAGGGGGTTGGACTAGAAGACCTCCAATGTCCCTTATTCTGTTATTCTGCTAATTATTGTTATAATGGACTTTCTAAAGCCAGCGTCTTCTCATCCTTGCAGCAGTTCTCCCTTCAACCTATAACATCAGCAGTGGTGGCTGAACTGAAGCTCTTGTGTTCCAAGAGGAGAATGTATAAAAGAAATGGCCTCATGGCCAACGTGACCGTGACCTCCGCCACTCCAGAGGTACCGTTTCCATTCCAACTCAAAACAAACCACAGTTTAGTTGGGCATCTCCAGGAGACGTTCTGCTGTTTAATTTCCTCAAGGTGGTTTAAGAAGCAGCGCTACCCACACAACGATGAAATTTGTAAACTTAAAACGGTCTTTAATAGGCCAATCTCAGATTTGGGTGGGAAACATCTCCCATCTTCCCCGGCAAAGGCATGTGCAGTCCTTGATGCTCTCTGAGCTTGGTGGATTTATTGCAGACCTGTCCTTACCAACCTAGGTCAGTGCTAGTAGGGAGTGCAAAGTGCCTACTACACGGATGATGTTACCTAGTTTGGTAATGAAACGTCAGAGAGCACCAAGGGCCCCACAGTTACAATTCCTTAAAGTTGAGAATAGGTTGTTTAACTAAAATAAAAATTAGGGACGAGAAGGATTTAACCTCCTGATTTAGCCAAATCTCAGCCATGTTCCTGAAGTGATGGGTCTGATCCTCTATAATAGTTTCCTTGATGGTTCACTATTTAATGTCTTCTGCAATGAAGAATAGATTTTTTTCCCACCTACTTAGAATATTTCCTCCTAAGTTGAACAGGATCTATCCAAGGGCGAAGAAAGGGATTTCCTGCCTTCTCAAGCCCTGTCAAAAAGGCTTTTTCGGTGACAGATTTAAAGGCCAAATTGCAAACACTTTTCAGATTAGCTAACTAACAGAACCACACAGCTGTGAAACAATTCCAGATGTTGCGGGGGGGG